CCATTAAAGATCTGGAAAATCCCAGATCTTTTCCAGGTGCTTTTCCCTGGAAACATACCCTTAAACTCGGACCTGGTCGGGAATCCAGGGCCATGGTGCAATCACCTTCCAGAGCCTGGGTTCCTCTACTGTGGTCCAATCCATGCAGACCCCATGCAGAGTCAGGGTCACTCCCTCTCAGGTGGCCCTGGTTCATAGAGCTTTTCCTAGGGTTCTTAATATCAGAACCAAAATACATCTCCTTGAGGCTTCCACCCATCAGGTCCCATGGTTACCACCTGGGCCATCCAGGACAAGTCGGGATGCCCTTCACTCGGCAGACCTTCCACCAGCTGGTCACAGTCTCCGTGCCTCATGACCCTCATCCTCATCACCACCCTTTTCTCCAGTCACTGCATGCTCCCTCGATGCATGGGCTTCAGGCCCCGTCATCATCCTGCCCAGTCACATCTCAAGTTCCTTCCACTGGTCTACAGTGACCAGGCAGCACAGCAGCCCGCCTGTGATGTAAGAGCCTAGTGGCGGGCTCCATCATCCACACATCTCCTGGTAATCCTCAGGACCCAAAACATACACAACAAGGTAAGGGATTCTCCAGTCACAGTCCCTGCTCCTGCAACTTTCCAGATTCATCCGATTCATGTTAAATTGTAAACCTAAGAAAATAAATGCTCTCCTTAGGCTTGGGTGTGACACCCTCTGCCATCTGGTGCAGAACAAAGTGGCCGTTCTTCAGCAAAAAGAGCACAGCAAGGACCTGTGCAGGGAGAAACTCAATGGCAGGAATGGCCCTATGTCCACCGGTCACCCTGACAGCCCCGTGCAGACACAGCGTTTCTGGGTTTGCAGCAGCAGATACTGATGATTCCTACCATTAGCCTTTACTTTCTGGATAAGCGCGCCACAGAGGTAAGAAACAGCCAGAGAGAGAACCTCTGCGCTCGGCTGGGAGTCTAGGAAGACCTTCTGGCAGGGTCCTTGTCGCGCACAGCTGGGGAAGGGTGCTGAGGTCTGTTCAGGAAGCCGCGAGGGCTCCCTGGGCCAGGCTAAAGCCAGACCCTGGGGGATGATGGATGGGAGCACACACCCGTGCCCTCTAGAGGCTTCGTTTCCTGTGCTTGCGGACCACCAGCAGAGTGGCATGGCACAGGCGGCAGGAGGTGCTGTGAAAGGCGAACACCCTACGGCTTCCGCTGGTTTTGTCTTGGTCCTGGGAGCCAACTGTGTGAACTGGCATCCGGGGCTCTCAGGCCTTTGGGCTTCTGGTTGGATTTGGTCAAGGAGGGGCCACTGGAGACCAGTGGGAGGGAGAAGAGTGAGGTCACCCTCACCCTCCCGGTCACCACAGCTGGATGTGTCTCTCTCGAAGGCCACAGATCCTAGCTGGAAGCTTTCCCAGATACTTGCCCTCTCTTCGTCCCATTACATCCCAGTTCTGACCAAACCCACCGCTCTCCCCGCACCTCTGCAGACAGTCCCAGGAAGACTCTCCTCGGCGAGCCAGCTTGCGAGCCCCATCCCATTCCAGATTCATCAGCTGACTTCAACGGATTCTACTGACCAATGGATTCAAAGGACCCTGAAGAATTTGCTGACTTCAATGGAATTTTAATTTTCTTATACTCTAAAGAGATTTGAACCTAGTTATTTGTTCCAGTAGGTTATGTTAAAAACCACAAAATTCAACTACTTTACACACATCTTCCATACAACTTTTTATATCTGTAATTCCAACTTTTCAGCACTTGGTCAGGCGACAGAGAACACACTAGTAGTAACTAGTCACAGAGCCTTGCAGGAAAGAGAAGCAGAAATGGTTTCTTATAACTGAACAGCATTCTTAGAACATAAAATACAGGCCAGGTGTGGTGACTCGTGCCTGTAATCCCAGCATTTTGGGAGGCTGAGGTGGGAGGATTGCCTGAGCCCAGGAGTTCAAGACCAGGCTGGGCAAAAGAGTGAAACTCCGTTTCTACAAAAATACAAAAAATTAGTCAGGTGTCATGGTGCCTGCCTGTGGTCCCAGCTACTTGGGAGGCCGAGGTGGGAGGATCACTTGAACCTGGGAGGTCGAGGCTGCAGTGAGCCATGATCGCACCACTGCACCCCAGCCTGGGTGACAGAGTGAGACTCTGTCTCAAAAAATACAATCAATCAATCAATCAATAAAATAAAACAAAACATATATAACTAGCTTTATTTTCAAGAACAGAATGTTTAATTTGGGTGTTTTACACAATGTACTTTGAAGGAATTAACAGTATATAAAACGATCAAAAACATCGTATATCATTGAATCTACAATGATAAGATATGTTCTGACTTTAGAGATGCTACAATTTGGGGGGAAAACATGGCTTTGAAAAAATGAAATATAGACTGTTTCATAAAAGCCACTCATTTGTAGTCTGATAGGTAACTTTTCCCAGGGAAAAATGATACATTTTCTTTTTATAAATAACTTATGACTTATTTTCTACTGGAAAGATGTCATAGCCGCTGACATAGACCAGACTCTCCTAATTAGAGAGTGGGTGGTTCCCTCGAAACCTCTGCCTTGGACTTCCAAACACACGCCACCCACTTACACATCCATGTTTGAGACACTTGCCATTTCCTCATCTCGGAGTTTCCATGGTGCCTGAAATCTTTCTGCTGGTGTTACCACTTCGGCAGTAAGACCCTTTAAGGAAAGGGGTCCCCAGTTGCTGCTTGGACACAGCCCGTCTCAGCCTTGGTATCCACTATTGCCTGGCACCCACATACCATCCCACTCACTCAGCAAGTGGACTCGAAACATCAGGCATCCAACATGGTCACGGTCACTTGTCAAACTTCCTTCAAACGCACCCGTGCTGAAGGGAACACTGGGTAGTACCAGCTGCTCAACTAAATGTGCAGAAATGCTACTGATTTATGGTAGCGCCCCCCCCGCCCCCATTCACTTGTTTACACAGCAGTCAACACGTGGGTGGGATAACAAAAGTGTATCTAAGTGGCAACGGTCAGTTCCTACCAGGCAGTGCATTAAAAAAAACCACAGACCTCGACTGGAAACACACAACAAATGTAAGAAGATGTGTACCTGTGAAAATGAGCACACGGCCTGACCCTAAAGGGAATCTAACCCCTGCCCCTGTGTGTGCAGCCTGGGGGCGTGGAGGGCACAGGCTGCCCACCCTGGGGGAGGCTAACCTTCCCAGTCAGGGACGGGTGGCCGCACGTGCTTGCCAGGGTGATTTTTGCCAAACGGTTGTCTGAAGGAGTCTTACCAACACAAAGCGCTTGTGGCTGAATCCGTTTTCAGTGGGAAGGTCAGTGGCACCTGTGGCTGCTCTGACCCGTAACCATTATTTTCCACCATCGCTGACTTAATGGAATTATCCTCACTCACCACTACATGAGAAAAATCTTTTTTTTTTAAAAAAAGACAGAGTCTCACTCTGTTGCCCAGGCTGGAGTGCAGTGGTGTGGTCTCAGTTCACTGCAACCTCCGCCTCCTGGGTTCAATCAACTCTCCCGCTGCAGCCTCCCAAGTAGCTGGGATTACAGGTGTGCGCCACCACACCCAGCTCATTTTTGTATTTTTAGTAGAGACGGAGTTTCATCATGTTGGCGAGGCTGGTCTCAAACTCCTGATGTCACGTGATCTTCCTGCCTCGGCCTCCCAAAATGCTGGGATTACAGGTGTAAGCCACCGTGCCCGGCCGAAAAATCAGTTTTTAATGCCTCAATATGTTAGCAGAAAGCTTACAGGAGGCAAAACGGGACGAAATGTCATGAAGGAGAAAGGCTTCCAACCGTTCTGCAGAGGCTGGCGGGCTACTCAGAGTTCTGAACTTTAGCTTCCTGATGATGAAGGAAATGATGCTCCCTGCCTCGGGCGTTATGGAAACACACAACACACCCCACGCTCTGCCCCTTCCCTGCTAACACACGCACCTTGGGTTCACGCACTCCGCTCTGGACATGCGGAGGGGACGGGCCACTCCCTCTAATGTGGCCACTGTCTGATAGCTCGCAGGTTTGAACCCTCAATCGAGCAGAGTATCTGGAAAAAGCATGGCAGCCATAGAGAAAGGACGGAAGCCATAAAGGTTGCCCCTGGGCACGAGACCCTTGCTGAAGACACGCTTTTACCACTGCCGGTCTCACAGGTATAACCACACTCTCTTACCACTGCCGGTCTCACAGGCAACAATTCATGTTCTGACAACAAGGTTCTCAAATGTTAATTTTTCCTTTTAAGTATTCCTTTGTTACAACTGCACTAATTTTACCTCTCATAATGTGGGGTGTTTGTGCGTATGTGTGTGTATGTATGCATGCACTCACGTGTCTCTACTTGCATCTATGGAATTAAAAAAAGGGAATTCATTTGGAGGAGCCACTTCAGGAAGCTCAGGTCCAGCCATCAGTGGCAATAAAAATGAAGGAAGGACTCAGGTGAAAGGAGACCTCACGATGAGCGGTGACAACTGGAATATTAATAGAGCCCACATACCAGAAAGAGCTGATGGACATTAACAGAAGAGGTGTTTATCATAACACGTTGCTAAAAGCTGAAATCAAGGCAGGTGTCTGCTTAGTTAAGAGTCACCAATATCAGAGACGATTCCTAAACTAGAAGTAGGCACCGTCCCCAGCAGAGTCACGCAGCATGGCCCGCCTTGGCTGGAGAGGACACTCGCCCAGGCTGCCAGGGTGGGCGAGACCTCAGAACTGGATCAGGCTTGTAGCTGGGAGACCAGCACTCCTACCAGCTACCAGCGACAGCGGCCAAGAGTGAGAGCAGATTTGGTTGAGAAACATGAGAATCAGACAGTGATGAAAAGGTCCCAAGGGCCCTCTAGTGCCACCTTGCAAACAGAAAGCACATTCGGTGACCAGCATTACTGTGCATTTGTGGTGCTAAGGGTGTCTAATTTCACACATTTGAAGAATAACAAAAGAACTTTCCGAAGTGGAGACTCTCTCCCTGGGCACCCCGGAGCCCTTACCTTCAGCAGTGCCGGACAGGCCATCGGCTTTGAAGTTGCTAGTGCTTTTCTTCCTTCGGTGCTTCTTTCTGTTGGCGTGAGGGGAGGGGGGCGGGTCGAGCTTGGGGCTGGTGGTGCTGGAGATACTGGGACTGGAGCATACGGAGTCACCCAGCCCCGTGTCTGCCGTTGGACCGGAAAAGGCAAAAAAATGCAGAGAGTGAGCACTTACAAAGTAGAGTACGCAGAAACAGCACAGCCACGCTCCTCCCACATCACACGGGGTTCTGCAAGTAACATCCCATCACTGCATTGCTGGGTTGGAGGCCCAGAGCCTCTGGTATGAGATGGGCTCAGTCCCCCTTGCTCTACTGTGCCACCCGTTATCTAAAAACAAGCATTTATTTTTCTATCACCAGCATGCTATGGATAAGTTCTCCTTCTCTCCTTTGCATGACTGGAGCTCTGCAAAAGGAAAGTGGTGAGTTTATGCTTTTTAGTTGTCTTTCTCTTCTTAAAATTACTTTGATATATTAGAAATGAAAATGATGCATTTAAGAATACATTTGGAAATATCACCTGAAATGGGTTTGACTCCTGTGGGTGCGCAGGATAAGGGATTCCTGATCCTTTCTTCCGGCCTCAATATTACAGCTGACTGTAACTTCATCTTGTTTTATTATCAGTGAAAAATTCTATGCTATGTTTTTCTCTCTCTCACCAATGTCCAGTGACAGTGTTTGGAAGTCGATATAGCAGGCCTGCCAATTTTTGATTCACTGAAGCCACTTAGAAAAATTTCAAAACCAGTGCACACATGATTATTCACTGTAAGTGAAACTCTCAATGTATTCTGTCCATTTGTATCTTTATCAAAGAGAAGGCCAAAGTGGTATTAAATAACTAGAACGCACATATAATTCAACCAGGGTGGAAAAGTACACTGAACATGTGCAGGAAAAACAGGTGGTGCGTGCCTCTAGAGTCTTGAAAAGTTTTTATTTTACGATTTGGCATCTTTAAGTCCAAAGTCAGAGTTCTGTGCAGCACACTGCACCCATTCAGCTGATTTTTTGAGCACTGACTGTGAGCCAGCAGCTTTTCGAGATGCTGGGAGCCACCATTGATTGAGGAGAAACAGATAAAACATTCCTGCCCCCAATGGGAACCCTCTAAAGTGGAGTGGCAGTGACAAGGCAGCCGGGCTAGAACCTAGAGTCCACCAGAAGCTGGTAAGAGTTACGGGAAAGGCAGAATAGGAACACGGGGCATCGAGGCTAGGAGGTCTGGGAGAGGTGGCAGCGATGGGGGTGTCATTTAAAATAGGGTAGCTGGGGCAGGTCTCGCTGAGCAGGGGACACTGAGTTAAGACTTGAAAACGGCAGAGGAGTGAGAAGGTAATGAGGGCAGAGAAACAGCCAGAGCCTGGCTCTGAGGAGGGAGCCTGGTGTGTTCCAGAAATGGAGAGGCGCCGGAGTGGCGGCAGCTGGTGTGGGTGGGGGACGCCTGTGGAAGGTGGCCCTGCAGAGGAGGGGGCTCGTGGGCCACCGTGAGGACCCTCGCCTGTGCTTTGGGGGAAATGGGGAGCCACTGCAGGGTTTTGAGCAGAACAGTGACATGATTTCAAATATAAAGATAATGGAAATCAAAATGAATTGAAAATATGTATATTTTGCGAAGTTCTAGGAATTTTTATCGTATGTTGAGAAATGTAAAAACATTCAATTTAAGGTATCTGAGAAATACATATGGTCCCAAGAACACCCCGATGCACGTTCCTGGCTGCCCTAAGGCAGAGACCCTTCGCCCCTCTCTCCACGGTGGGAAGCGTCACCCGTTACTGCACGCACCCTTTACACGTGGAAGAAGAGGGCTGTGGGGAGCTCCTCCTGCGAAGGGGGTGAAGGGCCACCGCAGGGCTCCTGCAGGACAGCCCAGGCGGCACTGGACACCGCGAGACCCCTGCGACTGTGTCAACCGTGTGCACTCCTTGTGGGTGGACACTCACTCACAAAAGGTGGAAGGTCCCTTCACCACTTTAAGGAGTTGCGAGAAATGTGGCAATTCGGTGTCTCAGCGACTTTCCCTCTACCAGGGCGGAGGTGCTTCCTATGGACGCACATCCTTAGATGCAGAGGCACACGGACAGGTCAGTGTCCCCTGGTGGCAGGTGGGAGGTAACGTCAATGGCAGAAATCTGGCTGTCAGCTTCCTGGGGCATCACTGCTGTGACTCCACCATCACGGCTCCTCTACTGGTCCTCTTGCCGTCTCCTCCATTCCCAGAGAAACGAGCTCCCCTCTCCTCCATCCCTAGAGGAACGGGCTCCCCTCTCTCCATCCCTAGGGGAACAGGCTCCCCTCTCTCCATCCCTAGAGAAATGGGCTCCCCTCTCTCGCTAAATGAACCTTCCTAGCTTGTCCTGGTTCCCTCTTTCATCCTCACGTGTCTTGGCCGGGTCACTTTCACTCATTCCTCCCTCTCCATCGCTTCATTCCTGTCCTCAGAGGTCCCAAGATCTTTCATACCTGCTTCCCTACACCTTTCCCTAACCCCATTATTCCTTAAAGAGTTATTTCCTTAACCCTTGAAGCCACAGTCTCAACAGCAAATACTCATCCCAGGTCACTACCCATCAGGGGCTATTGCAAGCTCCACCTTCAGCAACGCGTTCAGGGCTCTAAGCAATCCGCTGAGGCACGTGGTGTCCCTACCACCTCCACTTTACAGATTAGAAAACCAAGGCACAGGGGGAAGTTAAGTAACTTGCTGAAGTCACAGAGCTCGGTCAGGTCTGCTGAAAACCGCCGCAGACCTCTCCAGACAAGGTTCCTATCCAGATAGAGGGTTTAAATCCATTGCGTTTCTTCCTGACTCCTTGAAGTCTGGCTTCCCTCACCACTGCTTCTTCAAAATGGCACACTGTTTCACTGTGCCTTCCTTCGCCCCCTTAAGCCTTCCTTTCCCTTATCATGCTAACTGTGCCGACCCAAGATGCCATGTTTTCCTGCCTCTCCTCCCTACGTCCACGGGGGCATTCTCCATGTACATGACACCAACACTGGTTCCAGGCTCGGCTCTACCCGACCCTCTCCTCCCAGCAGTCGGCTCCCAAGAAACAGCACTCACTCTGACCTTTGCATTCCGGGCAGCTTTCTCTGCTATCACTTTGGGCTTCACCCTTGAAACTTGACACTTGTCTGCCACTTCTGCCCAACTCCTGCTTTCCACGGTGGACATCTGGTAAACCTCCTCGGTCAGCTGGACCCAAGGTGCAGCCAGCAGTCCTGAGACCCCCTGAGCCTGCACTATGGCTGTTTGGTTGTGGTGGGACTGCAGAGGTGGGAGCGGGCAGGTTTAAACAAGACACGTCCCTTGCCTTGAGCAGCCTGGAACCCCGAGCTCAGTCTGTTTTCACAAAGCCGCTCCCTGGCTGCCTGCTCTCCATTTAAGCACCATTCACCCCTGCTCCAGTTCTTACCTCACCCCCAAGCCTGGACCGTGCAGCCAACTCCACAAGGTCCCTCTCCTTCCAGACTTTTTAAGCTGTCCCATGTTTTTACAATACTAATATTTCTAAAGTAGTGGTTCTTACATGTATTTCTGAAATACCAGATTCCACTGAATATCAGATAAAAGTTATAGATACCCCGGAAAAAAGGGCAAGACTAATTCATTTTTGTGTATGACTTAACACTGTTCAGACGTCTCGTAACGTTCAGGGGTAGGACATCCAGAGACCCCCAAGATCATGACCTGGTTCTAAAGCAACCCTTCCCTGTGTTATTTATTCAATGCTCAAACCAGGCAGTGAATCCTTTTGCTCATTTTAAATATTTTCTGCCCAGGGTTCCCAAGTCTTCACCCCCTTACCCCATCCTCTCTATTCAGTGTTAGGAGCCCAGTCTGCCAGGCCTGGTGCCAGGCCATGGGAAACAATGGTCACTGTGACTGTCTTTGTCCTCAGAGAGCTCAACCCTAGCCCTGCAGGCAGATAAGCAGAACAGGCAAACGCAACTTTCCTGCTGCCGGGGCCCTCTGTTAAGTAATATTATATTAAAATCATATTATTATTTTACTCTGTCCCTTGGGTATCCTCTCATTTTGACAGGCCATGTTCATCCCCAACTGTGTGTCCTTCCTTCTGTCACTCTGTTTAACACCCTCTCCCAAACTAACATTTCTCATCTCTAAACTCCTATGGAGCCCACAGTTAGGACCTTTTGCATGCGGCTGCCAGTCGCTTATCTCAACCTAACTAGCATGCCTGCGCCCATGCCCAGGGCAACCACCAGTGCTCGCCTCCCCCGTGAGCTGTGCAATGCTGAGCCACAGCAGGTGCATTATACCATAAACTGTCCTCCATTATCCAGCGGTTGTTTTTATGAGTGTACACCAGTATTTCTAAGATACTCAGAACACATACATTAGCTATGTCGTCCACACGACAGGCTTCCACACGGGCATGGTGGGTCTACGACTAGGCTCTCTATTCCAGGCCACCACTCTTTATGTCTCTCTCGGTGTTCTAAGCCTATGCGTTGTTACTCTTCACAATTGCCTTAGTTATGCTTGGCCGTTCTGACCATATACTCCTGTACATCCATCCACGTCAACGAAAAAGATGGTGAACAGGGTGGAGTCAAGATAGAGCTTCCCACCTTCAGATGCACCATCCACTCCTGGAAGATTCTGAGAGTGACCACTGAGCCCAGATAAATCATACTGTCTTTGTGTTCAGCTCACATATCTTTCAACTTGCCTACGAGGAAACCAAGGAACAATCTTGTCAAATACTCTGCTGAGGGCTATATGGGTACCCAACTCACACATATTTTTGACAACTTAAAAACAACAAAGGGACATCTATTTGATGTCTACCCATTCTCTTTAATAAACTCTCCCTGTTCAAATACATGCTTCCTTTTCCATGTGCACACAAAGCACCTCTTTAACAATCAAATTCAGAATCCCACCCGGGTGTGACCTGACTCACTGGCACCTAGCTCAGAATTCATGTTTCTGGAAATCAAAATGGCACGTCTGTTACTAGGCCCCTTCCCACTTCTAGCTGTAGAAAACTTTTTGCAAAATAGTTGACAGGGACAGGGACCTCTCATTTCCAAGCTTTCTCCATATCTTGGAATATTTATAATTCAGGGAGAAATCCCGGACTCACCTGG